CCCACATGTCTGCATCTCTGCTTTGGGCCGGTTCCCCTCCTTAACCCCTTTATGCCTTGGTTTCCCCACATTATCCTAGAAAGCTGCCATCTTCCTCCACTTACCCAGAGGAAGCAAAGAAGCATAAATGTGACTCCCCTACGAGAGAGGCACTGTCTGCTCCCCTGCGCCCTCAGCCCCGCTCCCAGAACTGCGGATTCTGCCACTTCCCCTTGAGTCTCTCCTGGAATCCGCCAAATCTCTCTCCTTTCTTGCCACCCCCTCCCTCCTCATCACCCCTCTGCCTCCTGTGACTTCCACTGGCTGAGCATCCAGCTGATCCATGACCAAGATAATCAGATTATCTCAGGTCTGGAATAATCTATTCCATATGGCTTGCCAACTCAGAGGCTCCGGGAGCTAAAGGTGTGAGGACAGGGGGTGATCTTAGTTGGAAGGGTCTCCCTGGGAGCCTTGGGGCCTCAGCTGGGAGGCTGCTGGGGAAGGAGGGAGGTGGCGGAGAAGTCGGGGGCCTTCCTGCTGAGCCCCCTGACTGCTTTGGGGCTCCAGGTGGCCGCAGCCACATCCACCCGTGACCCACGGGGGTTTAGGAACCATGATGGGGGGCTGGACACTCCCAGTGCTTTCTCCACTCTCTGGATTGGGGTGGGGGTGGCCACGCCACTATAGGGCACTGCTTCTCAAAAGTGGCCGAGCTTCATAATTCTGGGGGAGGCGGTACTTTTCTTTCTTTCCTTTTTAATGTTTATTTTTGACAGAGGGAGATAGAGGACGAGCAGGAGAGGGCCAGAGAGAGAGGGAGACACAGAATCCGAAGCAGGCTCCAGGCTCTGAGCGGTCAGCACAGAGCCTGACACGGGGCTAGAACCCACGAACTGTGAGATCATGACCTGAACCCGTCGGACGCTTAACCGATGGAGCCCCCCAGGCACCCCGGACATGGTACTTTTCATACCCAGATTCTCCAGCTCTGGTGCAGCAGGTCCAGGTTGGGTGTGGAAACCTTTTTATTCTTACGTCTCCCATGGTCCCTGTGACTTGTGACAAGATGTTGTGGGCACTTGAGGTCTCTGGGGAAGTCTCCTCCCACGCCAGCACCCTCACTCTCGGGGCTGCCTCTGGGAGGTAGGGGGCCCCCACGTCTTCCAGAAGAGACAGGAGAGGTGGTGGGGAGGAGAGAACCCGGGCTTTGGCCCCACACACAGGCAAACAGGCCCCAGCTCTGCCCCTGCTAGCCACGTGACCTAGAACAACCTCCCTACGCCCCATTCCCTCACATACACAGGGAGGCAGAGACGCCCACATCGCCACGCGGTTGTCAGCTGTGACCCAGCCAGGCCCCAGCACAGCGCCAGGCCCCAGCGACGGCAGCAAGCGTGCCCGTGGGTGTTGCCCAAAGCCCCGTCCGTATACTCTGATCCGATCCTTACAATATGTCAGCACAGCAGGCATTACCCCCTGGCCCAGAGGCAGAAACTGTGTGGGCCCCGAGATGGAGAGTTACCCACATGACACAGGTGCTACATGGCAGGACGGGGACTCTATTCTGACCCACGCTGGCCACACTCCAGAGGGGTGTTCTAGGCTGCCTGGAGGTGGCAGCTCCTTAAACAACAATGAAGGGGCTGCCTCGGGCGGGTGCTGGGGTGTGGTGGGAAGATCTCAGCAAGCAGGAGCACCTGAATTAGGAGCTTCCCAGGAGATGCGCCTGCTGATGCTAAGCAGGCTGGCGATACAGGGGGCTGCTTCCTTCTCCTGGGGCCTCTGGCTCCGGCGGGCCAGGGATTAGGGGCTCCAAGGGGCTATTGACATAGCACCTTTGATTAGCACTCCTGTGTCAGAAGGGCTGGCCGGGAAATGAGGGCATTGAGGCTGGGGGGGGGGTGGGGGGGCGGTGTCCAGGACCCAGGCTGGGCCGAGGAGCGGGCTGGTTCCTAGCGGGAAGGCTGAGAGACCGCGGCCCCCCGCCCTGGAGGATGCCGCCCTGCTCTGCCCGCCCCCACCCCGGCCAAGGACTGCAACTGAACTCTCACCTCTGCTCAGTGGGGCTGCCCCGAGGCCTCATTTCCCAGCCTTACACGTTGGCAGGCGAAGGCAGGCTCGGGCCAGGGGAGCGGGAGCCACTGGCACCGGCACTTGTCAAAACACAGGCCCCAGAGGTGTGAAGTCCTCACCCCAGCGGGAGGGCGTGTGGGCCCTGCAGCCCGGAGAACTCATTAACGGGGGCAGCTCCCAAATGAACCCACAGGAGAGGCTGGCGATAAGGAGATCAAAGGTGATGGGGGGAGAGGCAAAAGGGAGGCGACTGACAGGAGGTGGTGGAGCCCAGGCCCCAGGTTGGGGGGGGGGTCCCTCCTCTTCCCCAGCTTAGCTCCATCGGGCCCACTGGCCGTGGCCCTTGTACAAACTGGGCCTGGACACCCCAAGGGCAGCAGGAGAGGGAGGGACTCCCAGGTGGCAGCCTTTAGGGCTGAAGACGCCAAGGTTGGGGTTGGGGGTGGAACCCTGCTATCTGCCCCACCTCTCTCATGCCCTTTTTGTGGGCTCTTTGACTCCACACTGGCCCCGGGACCTTTTTAGCCCTCCTTCAGCCTGCCATGCACCCCTCACGGTGTCCTCCCCTGCTCCAGACCTCTTGGTGGTTCCCGGGCAGGTGCCCGAGGGATGTCAAACCTCAGGTCCCAGATGTGAGAATCCTCAGGAGACAGAGCTGCGTTTTTTCAGGATAAACAGTCTGCCTCCCACACACACGGCCTGTTGTCCAAAACATGTCTGGTTGATTTTGTGCTTTTACAATAACAAACCGGCACTGGTGGTTTCCTCTGGACACAGAATGGCAGGCCTCAGAGGCGGGGATAGTAATGAACTTTGTTACACCCTTCATTACCTGTTGAGCTTTTGACTTTCCGGTCACACGCACATACTGTATTTTCAGAGATGACAGTAAAGCAAAAGGGTGGCTGATTGCCTAGGAGTTTTGGGTTGTGCCGAGTTTCCTCAATTAGCTACAAAGTGGAAATCAGAATTCTGTGGGGATTGGAGGGTTGTTTTTTTTTTTTTTTTTTTTTTTTTTTTTTTTTTTTGACATTCAGAAGGTTGGCAGCAGAGGCTCTGAGCCCTCTCAGATGCCATCCCTCCTGCTTGATGGGTCTTTATTCTGCACCCCACCCCTCCACCCCTTGCCTGAGTGCACAACGTACTCTACCAAGTCCCAACGGTTTGTCCCCTTGGGTCCGGTGGGATCAAAAGAGCCCAGCCACTGGGCTGCAATACCAGCTTCTTAGCTTGGATCTGGAGCCCCAGGAGGGCATCCATCGAGCAGGGTCCAAAAGGAGACCCTACTGACAGCTTCAAGCTGGGAGGGCTCTCCTGGACCAGACTCTCCTCGGGAATGGGTCCTAGGAAGACCTAGGTCCCCCCTAGGAAGGGGAGAAGCTCCCCTTCTCCCCAGGGGTGGGTTGGGACTGCCTCTCCTGGATGTGACCATGGGCGTAAGCATTCTGGGGCCGCTGGGACAGACTGCAGAGGAAGGGGGTGTAGAAGGTGCTGGAAGAAGCCGAGGGCAGGAGAAGATAAAGGAGGCGAGGGCGGGGGACGGTGGGGGGCAGAGATGCCCAGGGAGAAGCTGCTAAACCACTTGGCCTTCTTTGCTACAGACCAGCTCACCCGGCAGTCACAGGGCTAGAAGGCATCGGGGATGCAAAATGTTAGACCCCTCACACTGGAAGAGACCCTATATACCGCTTCTCTTGAAGACGTGCTACGCACCAGGTACTTCACAGTCTGGGTGGACAACAGACATCTGTGCCTGAAGTAGCTATCACGACAAGGTGTAAACTCAAACTCCTGAGGGATCAGGCAGGCAGTATCGGTTCCTTGAGATTTCCTACGTAGACAGTCTTGTTGCAAGTGGAGACGGTTTAGTCTCTTCCTTTCCAATCTGTATGCTTTTCTGTTTTTGCACAAGCCAGGCCCTCCGGCGCACTGTCGAGTAGGTCTGGGGAGGAGCAGACATCCCCTCCTGGTTCTCAACATTATGGGAAAGCATTCACTCTTCCACTATTTACTATGATATTAGCTGTGGGCTCTTTGTGGATGCCTTTTATCAGGTTGAGACGGTTCCCCTCTATTGCTAGTTGGCTGAGAAGTTTTATTACGGAGGGGTATGAATTTTGTTACGTGCATGTTTCTATGTCGTGTCCACTCACATTTCGATGGCAAAACCTGATATACCTGCCCCCAAATGGTAGGACGCCAACTGGTGGCCAGCGGTGGCAGCTTGCCAAGCCCTTGATCCTGCCAGGGAGAAGGTGCCCTAGAGGGCCTGAGGCTTCCCCTCCCTCAGCTCACACGGTCCAGCAACGTGGCCATACTTGGCCAGCTTGTTGGATTTGCCTGGGATAGTTTCCTCATAGTGCTCCCTCCGTCCCCCCACCCCCGATCACCACCTCCAGGTAAGGCCACGTCCAGGACCGGTCGGCCTCAGAGGAGAAATGGATTACTGCTCCTTTCACCTCTAGCAGGGATCAGGGCCCCACTCCGGGTCCCCATCCTATTCATTCTGCAGACCTGGCTGCAGTATGCCTCAAGGCTCCCGTTATACAAACTGGGAACGAATTTGCAAGAAAGCGTAAGAATCTGCATAAGGTCCCAACAGGCGAAGGCAGCCCCAAGCCCAGGTACTGTACTTCCAGTTCCCCGGACCGCGCTTCCTCTGACCTGCTGGGCTGGCCCAACACGCCAGGCAGCGCGGGCAAGAGGCCCCAGTGGCTGGCTCCGGTGCCCATGCGAGGGCCCAGGTGGGGCCGACCTGGGGCGGCCAAGGGGCCCGCACCTTCAGCACCCCCCCCCCCCCGTTGGTTCAAAGGGTATGGCCCCGCCCCCTCCAGGCCCCGAGCCCGCTTTGAAGTGCTGATGCGGCCTGGAAGGGGCCACTTCACACCTCGGGCTCGGGATAAAGCGGTCGCTGGGCGCCGGTCCGCAGATGCGCCGCCGCCGCCATGGCCCAGTCCCTGTGCCCGCCGCTCTCCGAGTCCTGGCTCCTCTTCCCGGGTTGGGGCCCGCCTCGGCCTCTGCCTCTGCCGCCCTCCGACAGGGACTGCGGCTGCTCCCCCGCCTCGTCCCCGGACTCCTGGGGCAGCGTCCCCGGCCTTACCAGCAGCCCAGGCTGAGCCCAGGCCAGCTGATGAGCACCCCACCGGCATGCCGGAGCCCGGGCGCCGCGGCGCGCAGCAGCCGCCTGGGCTCCGGGCAGCGGCAGAGCGCCAGCAGAGCGCAGCTGCACGCCTGCACGCTCATGCGCCCTGCTGACAGGCTGCCGCTTTCTGCCGCCGTCCGTGGCGCCCGTCACTGACAGAGCCTCACCAGATCGAGACGCTGCGCCTGGCTGTCCGCTACATCGGCCACCTGTCGGCGGTGCTGGGCCTCGGCGAGGAGAGCCTGCGGCGCCGGCATGGCGCAGCGGCAACGGTCACTCAGACTGCCCTGCCCCGAAGGCGGCCCGCAGACGCAGGCAGGAATGCCGGTCGCGCCCAGCTGCCAGCCGCCAGCCCTCCGGTCCCCGCCGGCCTGTCTCGGAGAACTAGCGGCGCCGCAGCCGCGCGACCCTCCAGTGCTTTATGACGAGGCGGCGTGTTCGGAATCGCAGACAATGGAGCCGAGCCCCTCGTCTCCGGTTGTGCTATATCCCGCGGGACTCTCCCCCCCCCACCCGTGGGTGCTGCTAACTGTCGTCCGCGTCCGCCGCTCACAGGCCTCCTGCGGCATCCCCGCCGGCAGCCTGGCCTTGTCTGCTTGCTGTCCCGAGCAGCGTAGTCAGTGTGCCTGGAGCGCTCAAGCGGCGAGGGGAGGGAGAGGACACGCAGGGGAGAGGCTCTTGTGCTCGAGTGGAACCTACGAGCGCGGACACCCACGCGTGGCGGCCAGCGCTGAAGGTAACTCTGTACCCTCTCCCCCCCCCCCCAGCTCTTTCCCGGCGACGTGCTGTCCCTGCTGGAGACCTGGATGCCCCTCTCGCCCCTGGAGTGGCCGCCGGCCTGAGTCGAAGTGACGACGTACAATTGGCGCCCTGTGAGCATCGAGGCCCTTTTGGCTTTCAGCACCTTCAAAACGGTCCCTCTCCAGACTCCCTTTCCTAGGAGAGGGCACCTGCGATACTGGCATGGGCATTCCTGAGAGCGAGAGCCCGTCCCCACCCAAGACAACTCTCCCCAGCCCCTCCGGCAATGGAGGAACCCATAGGTTGACCCTTGGAGGCAGGCAGGGGGCGCCTGCCTACTATGTATTTATTTATTTGTGAATAAACTGTGCTGGTGTCAGTTGACCGTTTCTTCTTCCTTCGCATGGACACAAAGCTCCCTCCCCTTCTCCAAAGAAGAACCTAGGAGAATTAAGAGAGTTTCTGGCAGTCTTCAGCCCTCAAAGCACAAAGGCCCAGACCCTTTCCCCTTTGCCCTGGCTTAGCCTGTCCTATTCCAGGAAGGCCAGCCTGGAGCGGGAAGATGCTGTATGTGAGAAAGTGGTAGCCGTGGAGCCTGTCCCCCTTTTCCTTGAACCCGGTGGGAGGTGCATTAAAAGCAAAGTATCTGTGTAGAAAATACGTTTTCTTAGTACTTACTGTGCATCATCAGGTCCTTTACACATTTTATACCCAAATAACGATTTTACTGAGGGTCAGCACTCAGGGTCGGTATGAGTTCAGAATCCCAAGTTCTCCCTGGTCAGGTTTTGCCAGCTCTGGGGTCTGAGAGGACACCAGCTCCAAGGACTCGTTCCATGCATCCCAAGTCCTTATTCCCCTGTACTGGAGCTTTGTGGCCTGGACCTTGGGATTTTCTTATCTGCCTTCACTCTGCTTTCTCTTCCAGGTGGGCTAGGGACATTAACATTTTATGAGTCAGTCCCGAGTTAACTGTGACCTCCCAGAGGCCTAGCTAGAGTGGAGAGGCTCATGGGGTTGCCTCCAAATCCACATAGCTGACCTGGAACCACACTCGTGTCTGCATTGCTGGGTTCAGATCAGGGATGCAGTGTATGGGGAAGAAGGAAGCCTTGACCCAGAAGGGGCCTGGCTTGGCTCAAGGGGTCTGGTAAGCAGTCAAGCCTTGTGGGGGAGTTGAGGTGAGGCTAGGGGATGTAGCCTCTGCCCAAGGGTTCCCCAGCGCTCTATAGATACCAAGTTCTCCCCTCCCTGCCAAGCAACTTTGAAACACAGGCCTTAGCATTTGTTTTTTATAGTAGCTTGAGATATAGTTTACATACCATGAAATTCAACCTTATAATTCAATGACTTTAGTATATTCGTAGTAATGCAACCATTACCACTGTCTAAATCGAGAACATTTTCATCACCAGGGAAAGAAACCCTGTGCCCATTAGCAGGTGCTCCCCATGACCCACGCCCCCCACCCCACCCCCCACCCCTCTCCAGCCCAGGCATCTACCTTCTGTCTCCATGGATTGGCCGGTTCCGGACATTTTGTGTAACTGGAATCACACAATAGAGGCCTTTTGTGCCCTGCTTCTTTCATTTAACGTTTTCCGGGTTTATCCGTGTGGCCTAGGTGCAGCAGTATTTCATTTCTTTTTATTGCCCAGTGATACTCCATTGCACGGATATACCACGGTTTATCTGTTTATCCGTCGGTACGGATAGGTTTGTTTTGAAACCACCTCAGAGATCAGTTCCAGTGCTCGGGCCCAGGTCGGGAGGGGCAGGAATTCGGCGTAGCCGGGGGCACCAATGTGACGTTCAGGCGTCCAGGCGCACGCACCCTGGCCGGCATTTGGCCGCACAGAGCGGGATCCAAAAGCAGAGGCCCTGCAGGGGGGCTGACCTCACACCTCCGCTGATCACCCCCTTTCCCACACCTCGCCCCTCATCTTGCTCTCCCCTCCCAGGACCCTAACTGGAGCAGAGCGAGAAGTCTTTTCCAGGGGCCCTACCCAAGTTAGAAAATCTGTTTGCATGGCAAAGGCCCTGCGGTTTCGGATGGGGAATTAAAGTTATTAGCAAGTCTTTTCACAGATAAGTGGGGCTCATCGGCCAGCGCCCTCCCCTGCGGAGAGCATTCTCCTCCCTCCCGGAGCCGGCGAGGCCCACTGTTTATCAGCACCTCGGTGTGAATTTTCATTAACACGTCTCTGCTAATGAGACGGAGGACTGCGGATGGGAAGGGGGCTCCTCCCACCTCTCCTGCGCCTGCGCCCGCGCCCCCTCGCTGGGCCGGCGCCGCTCGCCCCGGGGAGGAGACCCTGTGTACGCGTCCCAAGGCCTACGTCAGTGAGCACCGTCCAGGTAGGTGACAGCGTGCGCTCGCTCGGTTCTCAGCACCTGTGACAAGTGGCCAGTTGGTGGGAGAGTTAAGGAAGGAAGAGGCTAGCCGACGCGTCGGAGCGGAGGGTGGGTGGCCGCTTTGGCTGGGGACCCGGATGTGAGTGCGGCGCCTGTGTGCCTCCCCCGGGGCGCACGGTTTAGGCGACAGCTGAACGCCGGCCTGTCTCTGGGACGGAGGCTAGGTGGTGGCACCTCACCCGGGGCCCTGCCAGGGTGCCCTGGCCTGGCGCGGCGGGGGCGCGTGCCTGCTGGAAGGCGGGAGCCGGAGCGTGGCGTGGGCACCGGGTGCCCCACGGGGCCGCTGGCCCGCGGCTCTGCGTCCTTCGGAAGAGCTGCTGTCCCGGCCGGCCGGGTCGGATGGGCAGAGCGGTTGGTTACCCGAGCCAGGCTCTGTGTTAAAGGCTTTCAGTTCACCGTCTAACCTCAAGTCACTGGAGAGGTGGCGGAGGCAGGCCATACCCATTAATGTATATATTTAACAGATCGGGACACTAAAGCACAGAAAACAGGGCATTTTTCACAGAGCTAGTACCTGGCCGTTGGGACGGGGACAACGGTGGGAGGCAGTTGACCAGTCAGGTGTTTGGAACAGTCCTGGCGGGCAAGCGTGTGTTGGGGGGGGGGGGGGGGGGGAGGCTGGGGTTGTAAAATAAGGCCCCACTGCACCGTGGCCACCAGTGTTATTGCCGGCAGCGAACATTCTGCCCACTGAGCCTACATGTTGCTCCCGCTGGGGAAACTGTACTGTGTAGGTGCTGGTTGGGCCAGGTTCTAAGGCGGGGCAGCTAAGCTGACGGCTCTGTATTCAAGACATTGATTCAAGGACAGGCTGCAGGGGTCACAGTGTGGACCCCACCCCCCCCAACGCGGGGATGGGGGAGGTGGTCATGAGTTGTCTGCATGGGCCCGTCCTAAGGTCCTAGGCGTAGGACTGAGTGGGGGGGGGTCCCCTGCCTTGGGTGGGTGGCTGGTGCGTCTGGAGGAGGGCCAGCCCGGTGTCCCTCTGGCCACGCGGTACCAAATAAGCAGGTCCGTCCAAAGGGCATGTGGATGCGCCAGGATTTTGCAAGGGCCTGGATCTGGAGAACCAGGTGGCCCCGGGCTGAGGAGGGAAGCTAGCCTTAACCGCTAAGCCCCACTTACCCCGGAGTGAGGCCAGGAGCCCACCCTGACCCCCCACATGTCATCCCTGCATTTGCACAACCCTAAGGGCCCTGCCTCCCAAATGTTGCGCCTTGGGTGCTCCTTCCACTCACACTGGTTCCAGCCTCCCCTGAGGAGACCCAGGGTTCTTGGTGCTTCTGAGGGGTCCCTTTGCCCAGTGGGCAAGCTCCTCTTTGGGGACCGCTGGTGCACCAGCCCCGAGTGGGGCTAGAGCCGTGGGTCCCCAGCTCAGCGTGGCTCAGGCCCCTTCCACCCATTCCCCGGAGCCTTGCCAGGCCCTCTGCCCTCCACCCTCCTCTCTTCCCCCTCCTCCCTCCCTTGGACTTGGCCTGTGAGGCTTCTTTCGAATGCCCCAGCTCCTCTCTCCCATTCCTGCCCTCCCCACACACACTAGGAGATGGGGAGGTGTCCTGGTGTTGGCAATACGTGACTTTGGAGAGTGGACAGGGCCACCTCTGAGGTCTTGGCCAAGCTTAGCACCCCTCCTGCCTTCTTCCCCTGAGGTCTGGCATTTTTCTTTCTTCAGACAGTGCTCTCCCCTCCTTAGCTTCAGTGGGCACCCCCTCTGCATTGCTCCAGGGATGGGCACGTGACACAGGCCCACACGGTCAGCACGGAGTGGTTCAGGCATGAGACCACATTTGGGCCAGTGAGAAGCAGGCTCCGGACTTTGCTGGAACCATCAAGAAAGGGACATTTGCAAATATACATTCTTCTCCAGTTCATATGGAACGTTCTCCAGAATAGATCACATACTGGGACACAAATCAGCCCTCAACAAGTACAGAAAGATCGAGATCATACCGTGCATATTTTCAGACCACAACTCTGTGAAACTCGAAATCAACCACAAAAAAAAATCTGGAAAGATAACAAATACTTGGAGACTAAAGAACATCCTACTAAAGAACAAATGGGCTAATCCAGAAGTTAAAGAGGAAATTAAAAAGTACATGGAAACCAATGAGAATGACAACACCACGGCGCAAAACCTCTGGGACACAGCAAAGGCAGTCATAAGAGGGAACTATATAGCAATCCAGGCCTTCCTAAAGAAGGAAGAAAGGTCTCAGATATACAACCTAACCTTACACCTTAAAGAGCTGGAAAAAGAACAGCAAATAAACCCCAAACCAGCAAAAGACAGTAAATAATAAAGATTAGAGAAGAAATCAATGCTATTGAAACCAAAAAACCCAGTAGAACAGATCAATGAAACCAGAAACTGGTTCTTTGAAAGAATTAACAAAAAATCACCTCCTAGCCAGATTGATCAAAAAGAAAAAGGAAGGGACCCAAATAAATAAAATGAAGAATGAAAGAGGAGAGATCACAACCAACGCTGCAGAAATGCAAACAATAATAAGAGAATATGGTGAGCAATTATATGCCAATAAAATGGGCAATCTGGAAGAAATGGACAAATTCCTAGAAACATATACACTACCAAAACTGAAACAGGGATAGAAAATTTGGACAGACCCATAACCAGTAAAGAAATTGAATTAGTAATCAAAAATTTCCCAAAAAACAAGAGTCC